CTTTTCTTTGCTCATTCCTCACAGCAGGGTGTCTATGTCTACAGTGTTGGCTCAATCCAGATCTAGTATGAAAACCAAGCCCACAGACCGAGCACATATGGCTCTTCATTGGGGTATCCGCCTTCTTGGGTATGCACTTGGGGTAGTGGCAAGCTATATTATGATATTGAGAAGATTTTCCACATTTACTACATACAACTCGTATGGCTTTACTTTTATGAACCACATTAATGTGTTTGGCCCATTTACCAAATGTTGGTAATATCTGGGGACATATTGGACAATTAAAACTATCAACGGGATACTCTAAATAAAAAACCCCATCCTTCCACGAACTACTTTCTAATATATTTATATTACTACCAGTACTGTTAAGATCCTTATTACGATCCCTATTAAAATCAGTACTTGGTCTAAAACTATTTAATAAACTAGACCCATTAACTAAATGAGCATTAAGATATCCCGATTCGCTAACATATGGATCATCAAATGTACTTAAATACTTAAAATCTGGATTGAAACTTTCCATAGTTAAATCATTAAAAGTGTCCCTTGTAAAAACCATCGGTAAGATAGATAAAATCTCCTCACCATGATCATCACAAACATTCTCCTCTACCTCCTCTCCATGCTCCACTGGGAGGACTTGATTCTCACTCTCATGCTCATGAGACTTCATTATAGTCCACACCATTTTATCCATTGGTCCAGCGACCCTGATCACACCCCTAATATATTTAACACTGTCAGCCGGGGCATCAAAGCCAACAGCGGGGGCGTTATTAACCCGGTCCAGCGCCAATCCGGTATAAAAATATAAATTACTTTTTTCCATAGCTAAAAGATTTACCCTTCTCAGGGGGAAACTAACCCTTTCCAGGGGGAAACTAACCCGTACCTGGGGGAAACTTACCCTTTCCAGGGGGAAACTAACCCGTGCCTGGGGGAGACTACCCTTACCAGGGGGAATCTAACCCTTACCAGGGGGAGTCAACCCGTACCTGGGGGAGGCTACCCTTACCAGGGGGGCATCCATGTGGCACCATATGGGGCTGCCCAACCCCGTCCCACACCCCACTGAATGTGGGATGTGGGTTCGTCCTCCGCAATCCGCCTGGCTAGCCAAGCCAGTTACCGACTCTCACCACGAGGAGGTAGCGGTTGGACTTGCAATCCAGAGGCTTTCCTCAAAGAGGGGTCCCAAACAGCATAATGTCGAGCTCTAACGGGCGTGTGAGAAAAGGCTCAGATCTTGGTAGGGGTTGCCCCTATTGACCGGGCTCACGCCCACCCCCACCTCACCGATAACCCATTCTCTCACTACCCTCAGGCAATGTTTCCGTCCAAGCCCGACAGCTGAGAGGGTCCAGAGACGCATGGAGAGCCATTAAGAGAGCCATTAAGCCTCCCTGCTCCTTGTCCCCTGACTGCCCCCTCCTGAGACCCCCCCATCCTAACTGCCCCCCTAGGACCCTACCCCCTACCTGTCCCCTGACTGCCCAAAACCTTATCCACACCCCCGCCCCCTGACAGCCCCTCCCCCCCCAGAACTCCCGACCCATCCAACCCTCCCCCTGCTCCCTGTCTCTTGACTGCTCCCTCCAGAACCCCCCTGCCACTTCTCCGACCCCCTGGCCCCCTTACCGTGCCGCTCAGAACAGCGTGTCGGGCTCCACGCTGCCGCGCTCCCCCACGGAGTGCATAGCCTGGTTCCCGCCCTCGCAGAGTGCTGCTGAGCAACGCGCTGGGCAGCAGGGGAGGGGGAGCAGGGGGAGGCGCTCCAGACTGCTGGAGGCCCGATGCGAATGGCCGGTGATCTGCGAATGCAGGGAGGGGGAGGGGGGAAGAGAGAGGAGGGGAGTGATCTGAAGCTGCAGGGGAGAGGAGGGGGGAAGCGGAGGAGGGGCTCTGGCTGCCGGAGCCCCGTGCGAGTGGCTCGATCCGGCTGGCTGCCCTGTCAGCCGTGCCGCACTCTGCAGGGGGGGGAGAAATCCGGACATTTACAAATTCCCCCCGATGCTATTTTTAAACTCAAAAAGCCGGACATGTCCGGGAGAATCCGGACGAATGGTAACCCTCGTGTATGTGCTACATGTATTTGTTATCCAGTTTACATTCTATATAGAAATCCATCTTTGCAGCTTGGTCCAGAAGCCTTCATCCCTCTGACCCATCCTCAAGCTGTGCCCTTTCCCTGCTTAGATATGTACTCCCTCTTCCTGACAACTGAGGCAAGTTGCCAGGATGCGTCCTTTGCATGGCTCCCTTCGCTGGGAATTAAACTCTTCCTGCCTGAATTAGTGTGTAGTATGTCCACACTCTCACAATTGGATTCTAGGTGGTGCTAATGATTTTTAAACAATATTCGAAGAGTTTGTGATCACTTTCTATATTATGCGTCCAGTATCCAATGTAAAGGCCAGCACTCTGCCATTAATGTCCAGTCCCAAGCAGTGTGCTGTGCAGTCGCTGCATGTCCAAGGAGAACGACAGCTCTGCCTTGCTCTGCACCAAGCACTGGGACGCTCTTGGCTTCACATATGGGAAAGACCTTTGGAAAACGATGATGGTCTGTTGCAATTATGACATACTTGTCCAAATGTTGGGCAACTGTTTGCCTCAAGTTCTCCACCACTGCTAATGCACTGGAATTTTTGTGTGTCAACTGACGGGTTTTATTCTTTTTATTGCTGTTTCTTCTTCTTTCCTTTTTTAGTTTTCTCTGCAACCTTCCAGGCAGGGAGAAACATTTCTAACTGTTGCTTTTACTGGTGCTGTTTTTGAAGTGGTCTTGGAGGGATTAGTTGTTCTCTCGTTAATTAGCTGTACCTTCAGGCATTGTGTAATATCCACATAAGAGCACTGATGAGCTGGAGGGGCTGTGAGCCCCTTGGGACAGATCTGCCTTTGGGCTTCAGGAGAGACAGTCTCACTTTCTTCTTCGTTTTAAATACATTTCTAACTCATTTTCTCGCAAAGCTCTGTGCAATGGAAAGTGACCCTAAAGCCTTGCTAGGGACTGAATATGTAGAGAGGAAAGGGTTCATTCTGCAGCAGAAAGCTGGGGGAGACTTACAGATCTTTAATCCACAGGCTTTTAATATAAAGTAAATTGGCTATGTTTGGGATGGCCAGCCCAGAGCATAATGATGTGAGCTTGGTGGGCAGGATGCTGTTATGTTTGCAATAGGTTGTGCAGCCTCAAAATGCTAAGGCTGGCTCTGCTTGTTAAAATGTTTAGTCTTCTTGGATGCTGCAGTCACTGTCATTGCTGCAAGGGGATCTCCCTTCCACCAGTGTTGCTAGCACATGACGAGGAGGGGAGGGCCAAGCCGCTGCTATAGCCTCACCTCTCTCCCTACCATTGCCTGTGCCCCTGCCCATGGTGTGAAGAGCTGGCTTTGGAAGGGAGTCTGGAAAGCCATTCTCCTCAGACACCCCCCAGAATCCCAAGGGAAAACAGCATGGTGGATGGGGGTGGCAGGATTGATAGATTAAAGTCAGGGGGCAGTACAGATTAGATTTGGGGGTGGAGCCTGGGCTGCTGGGTATTTTAGCCAGGGAGCATTGCATGTATTGCCAGCTGAGGTGGAATGTTTTTGAAGAAGCCCCTTGTTTATCTCTCAGCAGCACCAAGCTGCTCAGGAGTGCAGCTGGCTGCCAGGAAGGTCCAGCATTTCTGTTAACTTTTGCCTGAGCCTTTGCTCCAAGTTTTAGGCTTGACACTTTGTGTGCTTTACAAGAGCACAGTGTTTTGCAATGGGATTTGAGACAGAGAAGGCGAACACCTGGCATCCAGAGAGGGAGGGCATTGTGTGCACAAGGGCAGCATGGATTCCATGCTTAGATACCAAGGTGGTGAGCCTAGTAGAAATGCTGTCCAGAGAGATGAAGAAGATGCGGAAGATGTAGGAATCTGGTTTCTTGGACACGTTCCCTGACTTTTGTTGCTGCTTTTCTGACAGCACTGAAGAAGCACTCGTATGCTTTCTTTCTCAGACTGCATGAAGTAGGAATGCACACAGGCCTGCACCAGTAATGTCGGCGAAGGCTGGCTAATGAGCTGTACAGGGGTCCACTTGCATCTTAGATGTTTGTTCTGTTACTGGGATCTGCAACAGCTCAGATATTTGGGGTTTTGGGGTCTTTCCTTAACTTACAGTTTTCCTCAGTTCAACCATTTGTGTTTCAAGAATTCATTATTCTTTAAGGCTCTTTCCCTGAAGTTATTGACCCATGTTTACAACCTTGAGTGCAGCTAGATGAAGTTTTTAGTTGTGGATTTTCATAACTTTTTGTAAACCATTTTCAGAGAATTGCCTGGGATTGGAAGTTGTCCATTCCTGTTCCACTTGCTGCTGTCCATGTGCTGCATTTCTTAAGTATTCAAAATTCACCTGCCAGATCATCCCCACAGTAGGGGCCCTTATTGTGTGCCACCCAAAGCCCCACTCTTCTGTCTGAGTTCCTGGGCACAGCAATATCCCTACAATGCACTTGCAAGTATCAGAATGACTGCACCAGATCTCAGAGATGAAAATGTGCTCATGAAACCTCAGAGATTTCCCAAGCCCTACTGGATATTTTCATTTAACCACCTACTCTTTCCAAGAGAGCCAAAGATTCCTGTCCTCTTTGGACCATGACACTCTGCTACTGAAACTCAATGTGCACAAACAAGAGCTGCTGCTGGCTTCGTGGGAAGAACTGAGGAGCATAGCTGCAGGCTGGGGATGCCCTCACTGAAGATGGTCCAGCAGAGTCAGGCAGATGTTTGCATTGACCTAAGGCAACTGGGAGGTGCCATGTGGTTTGGCACCACATAAGAGGAGACACTCATCGAAGGTGGAGTTCTCTCACTGTCAGTCTCCCCATAGAACCTGGGTCTCTGGTGAAGTGGAGGTGACTGTGGAGACAAGAAGCTAGCCTCTGGGATTTGCAAACTCATTATATCTGTGAGGGTTAAGCCTTCCCTCTCCCCTTTTCTCTTTGTGCAGGTGCTGCTAGAGAAAGAGAGGGAGAAGAAGTCTTTGCTGGAGGCACTGCTCCAAACACAGGAAGAGTTGACAGATGCCTGTCAGCAGCTGGAGCAGCTTCGCCAAGAGGTGAAGAAGCAACTGAAGGAGCAGGTAGGTTTGACCAGCAGGGAGCAGTAAAGAGGAAGGAACTGGCTGTTAGAGTCCAATACATAGGACGGAAAAAGATGGGGATGAAAGGAGAGAGAAAGGGGACCAAGTCAGGGACTGGAGGGCAGTGCAGAGCTGGGAGAGAAGCACTGGGGCAGAAAGGGAGAGGGCTGCGCCTGGGCAGAGGCCTGGTAAGCTGGTAAGCCAGAGAGCTCAGTAAAAGGAAGGATAGGCTAGAGGCAAAGATGGCAGCCAGGTGGGTTTTGTGCACACAACCACCCAGGCGGAGCAAAGGCAGAAATATGTGGTTGGTGAGAGGGACTCTGGGGCACAGAAAGGAAGGAGCAGGATTTGATATTTCACAGCTTTCAGTGACTCACTCTTTGGCCTGGCTGCAGGACACCGTGGAGGGGCTGCAAGCTGAGCTCCAGGAAGCTCAGAATCAGATGGAGGCAGTGGAGAGCAGGCACCTGGAAGAGGTCAAAACCCTCAAACAGGAAATAGACATTCTCCTTCAGCAGCGAGACACCCTGCGAAACCAGGTGACTGCCCCAGGCACAGTGCAATGGGGATTCCACCCAGGAGGGTGGCAATCCCCCTGCCTGTCACTCACCCTCAGTATGACCCTCACCATGCTACTCAGCCCTGATCCTGGCTGGGCAGAGGCGGGAGGTCCCTCTGTCTTTTGCCTGGTTGCTCACCCCTGATCTCAGCTGGTGGGGACGGTCCCTCTCCCCGTCACTCTGCTGCTCACTCCAGTCCCACCCCGATCTTGGCTGGCAGGGACAGTCCCTCTGCCTGCCCCCCTGCCATTTGCTCCTGATCCCAGCTGCACAGTGGCATATCGTCATCTGTCCTGCTGCTGGTGTTTTTATTTCTGGGGGTGATGGGGATTGGGTGAACAAACTACTCCCCTTAGGTCTCCAAACATATCTAGTTTGAACCTGGCACTCTGAAGATCAGATGATACTTCAATTTGCTTGTTTGCTTTCCCCACAGGATACAGGAAGGCTATTGCATGCTTTAACCTCTGGCTCCTCCACTATTCTGTCATATTTCAGGTGCAAGAGCTAGTGGTCACCAAGGATTCCTGGCAACAGATTGGCCTGGAGGCTCAGCGGCAATTGAACGAGGTGCAAAAATTATCCAACCAGAAGATAGTGGAGGCTGCTCATATCCAGAAGATGTTAGAGGGGGAGAGGAGTCGACGGGAGGAGGCAGAGTGTCAGAACACAGAGCTCCGGGCCACGCTCGGAGCCCTGGAGGGGGAG